CAACTAAGTTTTTTAAATAAATTTGAATTTAGATAAATGTAAATTCAATTTGATAAAAATTTGATTCGATATTATATATAATGGAGAGACATTATTGTATATGTATACATAGTTAGGTNAATTGAGATTCGAACGATTTTTCGGGTTGCAAAATGAGATTAACCCTTTAATATATTTACCTGAATCCAACTAAGTTTTTTAAATAAATTTGAATTTAGATAAATGTAAATTCAATTTGATAAAAATTTGATTCGATATTATATATAATGGAGAGACATTATTGTATATGTATACATAGTTAGGTTATTAATGAGATTGACATAAAATTAAATAAAAATTATTGAATAAAATGATTGATTAATTAAATTAGGATAAAAATTAACTTAAACTTGATAAAATTATTTATTTTTTATAAATTTTTGTTGTAATTCAAATTTTCATATTAAATTGGATATTCAATTTTTTTTCGGAGAGGGAAAAGAGTGGACTTGAACTCTTGATTTCAAGAAGATAAAACCTTCAAAAGTTAAAGAGTACCGGATATTCAATTATTAATGAATGCAAATATGATTTAAGGTTTTAAAATCCGTAAAGTAAATGAATAAAATTCAGAACTCGAATTTTTCATNTATTTTGGAGGGGAATGCTAACAAGTAGCCTCTAAGTGCCCAAAAATATACAATAATTGAAAAGATATACCAAACAATCTCGGACCAACTTCAAATTTGTAGGTGTAATATGCTCTCGAAGTTGACCATGCGGGTAATATACATATAAATTCTCTCTTACGTACGAAGACTGAGAAACGCTAACCATACTCTAAACAGTAATGATGTGCTTCTAAGAAGAAGACCTTTCCTTTGCATTTCTCCGCAGTGGTGTGTGATGTGTAGATGTGCTTGTGCAAGCATCGACTCTTTTTGCATTGCCCTACTTTGTTTATACGGTGCAAATTATTTCAACTAGTGGGTTGAGTTGGGTGATTCTGGGACATTCTCCTCTATGTTTGTGGAGGGATTTGCTAGATTTAGAAAGCATGAAAGGGTGTTGACCCTGTGAAATTGTGCAATTTTAGCCATTATTTGGGTGATTTGGTTGGAGAGAATAATAAAATATTTGAGGATAGAGATGAGTGGAAGGAATGATTATGGGATAGAATTTACTTCTTGGATTGGATGTGGACCTCAACATCTAAGGAATTTCGTGGCATTCCACTCTTTAGTATTTTGGCGATCAGAGATAGTTTTAATGGCAATGAACAATATGCAAGTACAATGGTGTTGTTGCTATCCATAGTGCTGTTGTGTTGGTTGATTTTTTTTTTTTTT